TTAGTATAGAGAGTTAGGATAATAATATTTAATTGATGAAAAAGATTTCAAAATAAAGTAAGTAATAGGTTAAGTTGATTATATTTGTTATAATGATTTAGCATTTTTGGTAAACAGGGATTCGTTATTCGGTAATTTATACATACTTATTTATTCTTAATATAACTTATATATTATAAACTTTGCTTTGGTGATTGCATAATTATTTAATTTAGCGATCTAAGGCAGTTGCCACCAGTGTCCAAAACAACAGACGGGAATTGTTGCTTTCGTCAACCTGCGACATTAACGTAATTGATTGGTATTGTATATAGGGTCATCAACAACATTTTAAGTTAACCTCTGGCGGCTAAATATTTGGTTTCTGTGAATTATGTAGGTACATATATCAAATTATGAGACTAGGATATGACACTGTATTTGTGTATATCATAATCTTAGAGCCGGACGTTGACATGACAATGCAGCCACTGCCAATATTAGATAGTCGACGAATAAAAGTAAATGAATTTCAATTTCTTACTAAAATACTAAAAACAACATAAGCAAAAGATGACTTTTTGAATCAGTAATAGTTAACTATAAAATTTACATTCATAAGATATATAGGTAACGACTTGATTTAACTTAACACATTTTTGCAAAAATTGAGGTCCATCTGTAGCCTTGACCCTACTTTAAAGTACTCTGTGGCTTAATAAATCAATCGTATAGACCACCGCAAGGTACTTAATAATTCCCACGATATTAATTCACTTACTTAAGTGACAAGACTGCGGTATATACCGTCTTATTATCCTAACTAAAAAGTGTGACATAAAAATGATAAATTTAACAAATCAAAAAACCCGACTGCTAAAATATTACTTGAAATAAAAACTGAACTTAACAGGATTATAGACTACCTACTGGACTTGTTTATTTATTTTCAGTTTTTATTTCAAGTAATATTTTAGCAGTCGGGTTTTTTGATTCTTTAAATTTATCATTTTTATTTCACACTTTTTAGTTAGGATAATAAGACGGTATATACCGCAGTCTTGTCACTTAAGTAAGTGAATTAATATCGCGAGAATTATTAAGTACCTTGCGGTGGTCTATACGATTGATTTATTAAGCCACAGAGTACTTTAAAGTAGGGTCAAGGCTACAGATGGACCTCAATTTTTGCAAAATTGTGTTAAGTTATTTATCCGTGCGGTGACGGAGAAAGAATACTACTCACCGCCCCTTCTCTTCCCGCGGGTGTCGTTAAAAGCGACTGAGGGATATCGGAGCTTCCATCCGCTCTTCTGGTTGTAGGGTGCCTAACACCCGCCTGGTTTGTCACCACCGTACACAAGGTGGAAAACCCGTGAAGTACTTCACGCGCGTTTCGGGGTCAGCCAGCGTATAACCAAAGCTCGAGTGGGGATTGCCGAGACAGATTCGGTCCAGTGGAGGCATCCGTCGAACCGATGTCGGGAGGACTGTATCAACCCACCGGCCAGGGAGACCCGTAGAGGCATTCCCAATGACCGCCCGTGGCACAGTACAGGGGCCCCAACGTTCTTAACCAGTTCGCGATGCTGCCCAATCATGTCACGCATAACCTCGGGGTGGATCGTCGTCCCCGTTGATGACTGGAGCGTGGGGTCCCGGATTGAACCAAACCCTCGTTTTCTTTGGGGTGTGTGCAGGAGACTTGGAGGGATGCCAATGTGCAACCGGTGCCCAAAAAAGGGGATCGCTCAGACCCGGCCAACTATCGGGCGATTGCTGTCACCTCAGTGTTGTGTAAAGTCTTAGAAAGGGTCCTTAACAACCATCTGACCCTCTACCTAGAAGATTACTCTCTCATTCGCGATCGTCAATATGGATTTAGGCCGAATCGATCAACGGGTGACCTTCTAGCGTACGTGACACACATCTGGGGTGAAGCAAAAACAAGTAGGGAGAGTCTCTGGCTATCAGCCAGCCAAGGTTTTGTCAGGGTCTGGCACAAAATCCTTCTCTCCAAGCTTACTGCATACGGTTTGCCTGCTCAGTTCTGCGCCTGGGTAGCTGACTTCTTGCATGAGGGTAGAATTCGCGTCCTTACGGACCGATGTAGTTTGCAGTTCATATCAGTGAATGCTGGCGTTCCTCAGGGCTCCATTCTCTACCCCACACTGTTTCTGCTGCATATTGAATGGATGGATTTGATTCCTCTTGGGAATATTATTATTGCTATGCGAGCTCTGGTCACGCAGCGGCTGGATAGGTAGAAACCAAAGAGAATTGGGAGAATCTTGTCGCTGAACTCAATCAGGCTTTGGACCACATTTCCGAATGGGGTACCAGGAACTTGGTTGAGTTCAATGTCAAGAAAACCCAGGTTTGCGCTTTCACGACAAAAACATCGCCATTTCTTCGCCTTCCCTCTCTTCAGTGCACAACACTGACGGTACATAGCAACATAACCATGCTCTATATGGAATTTCGTTCAAACCTGAATCCAAAAGACGAAACCGTGATCAAAACAGCTTCACGCAAACTCGGAGTCCTAAATAAAGTGCGGCGTTTTTGCACGCCTGATTGTTGTACAAATCGCAAGTGCGGTCCTGCGTGGAATATTGCTCGTACCTCTGCGATGACTCCGCTAAGTACTTACTCGCTGCCTTGGATAGGTTGCAGCGGCGCGCTGCCCGCATCCTTGGCGATGGAGAGGTAACTAACAAACTCGAGTCTCTACAATTACACTGCGATGTGGCATCATTAAACACGCCTTCTACCGCCTATACCACGGAGAGGATTCTGAGGAGTTATTATTCTCCCTTATCCTTCTCCCTTCTCTGAAAATGGAAATATAATGAAAATTCTGAGCTGTTTAATCATGCCAAACAGCTCATAATAGTATTTATAGTAAAGGTTTCCGCTTACTGTGAATGTAACTAAATCTGGTGATCATACTTTTATCAGAAGAATTTTCTTCATGGTCGAATGGAATAGTTCGAGTAAAAGTTAATTTCCTTGTACTTTCCTATATGATAGGTATGTACACTGAGAAGCTATTGAGGTGCCCCCAGGCTAGGTATTTTATTTCTTTGATTAGGCTTTACCTATAGTGGACACTAGTATATAAACAAAAAAAAAATTACATCACCTTAAATCCGATATCACTCGGACTTTAATAGAGGCCTAAGTTATTTATGCTTTCCAGCAATATGGGTATCAAATTAAAATACTAACTGAAAATATGAGGGGGTTTAAGTTCTTGATTATGTCCATCGATAACTAAAAAGCAAAAAAAAATTAAAAGTAAAAACCCTTTTTAAAAATAAGCTTTTATATAAATGCGCTGAAAAGAATAAAATAAATTTTTCCTTTAAACCATTTACTATAAACTTATAACGTCATTACACAATTTATATAATATAAAAGCTTGTCGCCAGATTTGAGTAGGTTCTGGTCGTTACAATATGAAAAAAATATAATAAAACCAATCCGATCAAATTTTGTTTATCTACACAGGTAAATCTCGCGACAAGCTTTAATATTTATATAAATTGTGTAATGACTAGGGATGCAAAGTCTTTTGAAATATCGATATTTATATCGAAGTCAGGCAAATATCGATATCCGATATATCGACCATTTTAACTCGATATTATCGATGTATCGATATTTTTTTCTTTTTTTTGCTTTATATTAAGTTTGCAAAGCAAAAACCTAAAATTAAGGATGCAAAGGTTTCCGAAATATCGATATTTATAATGTGGGCAGGTAAATATCGATATCCGATCAGATATGTCAGCCATTCCAACATTTCCAACACGATATTTTCTATATTTTTTTATAGCGCTGTAAGAAGTATCAAATCAAAAGCAATTTCGAATCAAAGATATTTATTTTGTTTGAAATATTTGCACGCAGCCAAAATCAGAATAGATAATCATATGAAAAACAATTGTTATGAATTAGTAAAACCTACACATCAGGCTTCAGAATAGGGTAAGCCCAAAGCTTCCAAAATTACTATACCTATCTTACTTTCTTGACTTGGCGAGCTTAAAAAATTTACGATTTGTATAAGATTCTTAATTTTATTTTGTGTTATATTACAATGATATTAAATTTCAATTAATTAGTAGTTGACAATTATCTAGAAAAAGAGGCAAGGATTTTATTTAAGTGCATGAGTTACCATTAGGTATACGATTATACCTATATACGTTGGTGTCGATTCTGGCATGATTATCTAAATTTAAAACTAAATTTAACATCAGTCTCTCCTTTTCATTCTGTATAGAGAATGACAAGGATACACTGTTGTCAAATTTAATTTTAGGTTTAGAGAAACATGCCAGAGTCCACACCAGTTTAGTATATTTCTTGGGGTTCGAGATTTTTTTAATACATCTATAAGCTCTTGCAATTTCAAAGCAATAGTTATTTCGATATTATTCAATATAGATAGTCGTAGCAGGTAAATTAATTGATATTATTGTGTTCAAATTAAGTCTCCGAAATATCGATTTTTTGGAATTTCCGATATCGATATTATCGATATCAGTGAATTTTAAATATCGATATAAATATCGATATTTTGGTCTCGATATTATCGATAATATCGATATTCCGATATATCGTTGCAACCCTAGTAATGACGTTCTAAGTTCACAGCAAAAGTTTTGAAGGAAAATTTCATTTTATTCTTTTTAGCGCATTTAAATAAAAGCTTATTCACAAAGAAGTTTTTTACTTTGAATTTATTTTGAAATTCATAAAACCACGCATCGAGGATTCAAACTGTCTGATGAGTAAGCCCAGGGCGCGGAAGGGCTTTAAAAAGCGAAGGAGTGTAATTATGAAATTTAGTACATCATTATAACACCCATTTGTGTTATAATGTTTTTTTAAATTATGACCTTGGATGTTTTCACGTTGGCAATAAGCTGTTTTAGAATCTAAGGTTCTAAAGCATGGGTGTAGATAAAGCTATGCTATATAATACCTTGGGAATACAATAAAACTGTACTTTGGTGTCTATCGTGCGTGGTTTATTGTGAAAATTTACGTAAGATGACGTCGTATTTTTGGGATGGATAGTTTTTGTAATACCAATTGCAAGCTTCGTTCTGGAACGGGCGACCAACGCTGTAAAAAATAGTAGAAACGTTATAGATTGTCAAAACAGACGGCATTTCGTAGGCAGTTGACCCACAGCCGGCGAGGAAGCGACTAACTATCGGCTCTTGCTTAATAAACGAACAATAGGTATATCAACATTTCATGTAAATAAAAGAGATGCTTAAATTAATAGTTGATCACTGACTGTTCACACTGCCGGCGAGAACTCGCTAAACCGGTTTATCGCTGAGCGACAAAAGCCATCAGAAATAATACTCGTTTAGCGAAACTCGCCAAGCGATGCTCGCTTGGTCATCAAAATGCCTGCGCGTGCATTTTAGCTCAGGATTGTCTTCGCGAGAGAGTGGCGCGATGATAATTTTTGTAAAATAAAAAAAAGCGGCCAAGTGCGAGTTGGACTCGCTCATAAATGGCTCCGTAGCAGCAAATAACATAATATAAAAGTTCTTGTAGTTTGTTGTAACTTTGATCGATGTTTTGATAATAGTGTATTTTTTAAATTGATTTGTGATTTATGACGTATTAAAAAAAACTACTTACTAGATCTCGTTTAAACCAGTTTTCGGTGGAAGTTTGTATAGTGTTATACATCATATATTGATTTATCTATAAGGGTGCCGTTTTTTGCCATTTGGCTATGGAACCCTAAAAAGCTCGCTTACCGATGCTCGCCAACTCGTTTCTAGTTTCTAGCTCTACTCGCTCCTACTTCATCGTCGGCAGCGGGACAAGAACATCTCATCTGTTCATTTTGTTTCAATAATATAAATTCAAGCTCAGTGGTCCAAGTAATGTTTAAACAGGATTACAGGAAAGTCGACCTAGATATTTAAGGACTTTATTATTTAGATCATTGCTGATATATTTGAGACTATAACCTACTGACGAAAAGTTAACGTTTAAAATAAGGCTTTGATTTTTCTTCTTAACGGTACCATTGTTTTCTCTAATTTTAAGTTTATAGTTTTTTTTACTCACTTGCATCAGATTTTTTACTGTTTTTATGTAGAAGGCACATCAGTCCGTAAAAATAAATAATAAACTTGAAAAAACTGCTATCTGGCGAACACTTCTTCGGTAATGTTCTAATATTACCGTATGGTTGGTTATTTAAAGAAACATAGATTTATAGTTTGAAGTCCGTTTATTAAGTGAAAAGAAACATTACAAAATAATTGAATTAATAATATTGCATATTACTAAAACTATCTACGTAACTAGCGGATTGCGACATGACCTAATTACGTTTCCGATGCGTATTATTACGTATACACTGCAATGTCCTGGAGAGTTATCGTGTTAAAATCACATGTTTCGTCTCAATTGAAGATTTAAGTTTCCTATCAACAGGGATATTAGGTGGGCGCATATCATGTCTTGCAACTGCGGTCGTGAAAAGTGGATTACAAAGAAGAATGAGAAAATCAAAGCTATTTTTTTGAAACGGTTAACTTTTCAACAGCAGGTCATAGGGTCAAATTTATCAGCAATGACCTTAATAATAATGTCCTTAAATGTAAATATCTTGGTCGACTTTTCCTATAACCCTGTATTCCTAAATTACTCTCGGTAACAAATATTGCACAGCAAATTAAAAATAAAAAAAAACCAGGAAATTTAAATCATAATACAGCAGAGTTACTCTTGCACCAACCATTCGTACAACCTCTGAAATAAATCACAACAACGACAAAGTACATTTCTTTTTCAATAAAAAAAAAATTCTTGAATTGAATGTTGACAACAATTCAAACTCTACAATAGGTACGCCCGTAACTTAGTATTTTTTTTCTTTATCTATTTAGTACCTAGAATACCTACATTAAACAGAAACACTGCAATATTTTACCAGTATAATATTAAAACCTTCTTTAATGCCAATGTTATTGCGGCGCGGCGTGTCGCCGTCGTCCATAATTTATAAAACTATTGCGTTACATAACATTAAAAGTCCCATAACTTCTTTCTTATCAAACCATTTTTGAAAAATCATTGTTTATTCAAAATCAAAGTTACTTTTTATATGTTCTGTTGGAGGATGATGTACTAAGGGCTTCACATTGTACATATATTCATTTGTTGGAAAAAAGACACAGAAGTAAAAAGACGTGTGTGTTTCATTCAAGGTATTAACTGGTTCTTCCATTGTGTATATATTTGCTAACACAATACTTTTCCATTATGTTCGAACCAAACTGTCTACGGCACCATTTAAAATATATTACGTGGCGGCGAAGATAGCTAACGCGGCGGTTTTACCTGCCAGCCCAGTTTTTTCAATAAGGTTTCTACCCCAGGGTATAGGTATTTAATATTACAACATACTTACGCATAGATGACCTGATCTCGTCTGGAGTAAGGAAAGAGGTTAGGTTAAAATAATATCGCATCCTCTTTCGGGAAATATTAACGACCTGCGCAGACTTTTGTCCGCGGAATGTTTGTTCGCCTAAATAGTTCGCTTACAAATGCGTCGAAAAACGCAAACAAGGGATTAAAATTATGCCGTGGCAATAAGAATAAATAAATAAAAGTACAGCGTACAAAAAGATCCTTGAACAAACGAGGAAACCAAGAGACCGAACTGGACAAAAGTACGGGGTGTCTCCGAAAAAATTCAACTCCAATAAGAGTCGCAGCAATGCATACAGTGAACTTGGGTCCGCGCATGGAACTAATAAGTACTACGTACAACTGGAATGCTCACTAGTTTCGGAGAGCGAGCCGAAAGAGAGGTTAAATTACTTTGTCTGTCCTTGTCTGAACATGTTAACCACATTTACTAAATATTTAGGATTATTTTCGCGTTGCAGTTGAACAATCATCGAAAATATTTTTATTTTTACAGAATGATGTCACTTTGTATGTAAAATCAATGTAAAGGATGTTTTTAAACAGATATTTACTCTATTCGGGTTTACTTGCACGAGCACTACATATTAAAATAAAATAGGCACTCTTTCGATCGAAACTTCAGACTAAATAAGAAAAATGTGTTTCAAACTAATGATGCGCGAGTAAATGCGAAAAGTGTGTTTCATTTAAAAGATATTAAGTAAAACTTTGTGAAACTCCACACGAAATGCTCAGATAGCCCTTGATTATGAAATCCGATTGATAAAATGAACTGTCATTTTCGATTGATATTCATTGCTTCTCTATTGAATGTCGCTGCAACAAAACTTATCACTAATCTACATAGTTAGCAACTACGTGAGAGTTCTAATTAGCAACCGAAGTGACATTTTCAAATTCCAGCAAAGCTATTTTCAATTGTATCAATATCCATCTTAAATATAAATCAGAAAAAAAAGTAAAGTAAGTAGTAAGTTAAGTTTATCTTAATAAGTTTTCATCCTGTACTGTTAAAATCAGTAACTTTTAATAAAATAAAACAATTCATATAGGTGCAGACTATATTTATTTCAAAACATTTAAATTATACATTGCTAAACAAAATAGTTTTTTGTAATTTATGCCTCAAAGTCGCACGGGATGACAAAATGCGTTGCATAGTTACATCTTTTCCATATGAAGACATTCTTAAAGTAATGTATTTATTAACAATAAATCTCAATAGACGGTACCGCTCCAGGCTTCAATATTTTCCGAGCTTCAGTTTTGTAGTTTTCAGCTTTGAAGTGAAGGGTGCATTTAACAGAATTATTATTGAAGTTTCCAGAAATTACCTCAAACTATTTGTCTCACTTCAACATTCAATTGTAACCTAGAAAGAAATTAACTGTCAGATATATTTTGTGTATTTTTTACATAATTTCGGAAAATGAAATTGCAAAACACAATTAAATTGAACATTTCTACAAAAACTTGATTTAAAGGATACTTTAATTAAAAACCGAGCCAAATAAAATTATAGTACTGAAAAGTATAGAATATGTTTCTTCATCTTTCATCCTTAGTTCACTAAGATGGCACAGTCACCCTAAGACTAATAAATGATAAACTTACCTGTGAAATGATATTCCACAACCATGATACCGTTCTTTAGTACACCTACTTAGAGTACATATTCTATTGTTTACTATTTTAAAAACAACGTTGGGTTCAAACAATTTAGCCTGATTTAAACCAACAGGAAACCAATTAAAATACGCAGTAGATTCAATTCACAAGAAAAAACCTGACGCCATATTGTTTACAATCGGTGAAATATTTCTACTAGTGTTGCTAGTCTTAACATTCTAATAACTTACAATCTAATGCGGTTAATAATAAAAAACAATTAAATCTGACTTTGTTGTTTTATACTGATGTCGATTCTGGCACGATTCTCTAAAGCTAAACTTAAATTTGACAACAGTGCATCTCTGTCATTCTCTATCAAAATGAAAAGGAGAGACTGATGTTAAATTTAGTTTTAAGTTTAGAGAATAACGCCAGAATCGATACCAGTATATGTCTTATTTATAACAATAAATATTGACTTAACGAAGCTGAAATATATTTTATTAACAACAGCTTTGAAATGTGAAAAAAACCATTTCACGAATTGATTTTTAGTTGCCGTATGCCTGTTTGCTAGTTCCTTATTCATTTATAATATACCGTAAATATTCCAATTTAAATAGTGTTTCTAATTCTATGTAAAAATAATCACCTAAGTAACACATATTTTCTACTCTTAATTGAACAAATATTCATGATGGCAATTGTGTGAGAGGGACACACCAAGATAAAGTTGGTCTCTTTCGAGCTCGTTTTCTATCCGGTTACTGAGTTATTCGATAATGAACCATAGCTTATAAGAGGTACGGTTTACTTTGATTTGACAAAATAACTACAGTGAGCATTCCAGTTGTACGTAGTACTTATTAGTTCCATGGGTCCGCGTTACGCGCTCGATCCGATCTAAGAGGGGTCCACCTCTTACATGATGTAAGCCTCTCAAGATGTCTTATCTTTTTCTTAAACTTTATGTTAACTACAGGACACCGTAATCTGAGAATATTTACTACCATAGCTTCTCTAAATTTTCGGGCATTAAATCTTCGCACATCGGGTGCGTTCAGTCCGTCATAAGTCCTCGGTGGACATTTTTTTCACCATTGCGGGCTGTCCTCCGCAAACAAAAGTCCTGCGTCTGTGCAGGCAAAAAAGGAAACGATTCAAAAGTGGAAGTCAAATTCCGGCAGCGACGAAACATATATCATTTGAAAGCTTGTTTTATTATAATATAAAAAGATACTTTTAATTTTTTATTTATCTCAGATTAATTTTATATCGTGTTTCAAAATTGAACTAGTTTGTAAGGATTGTGGCTACCCTGTCGTAAGTAACGTCATATTTTTAGTGTTTTGCAGCATATAACGTTAACTCAATCACTATCGCAAATGCTAATCAGTCCAGACATGCATGATATTTGTGAAATCGAGGTGAAGTTATTTCTTCGTGAATTAAAAGACCCACAAAATACCTAATAATATAATAAAAAAGATTTACAGAATAATTATCCCTGCTTTAGTTACCTATTGAATAGAATAATTTGATATTTTGGCAACAAAAAATAGATAAATAAACTTGCCATTTGCCAATCAATAGTTATATAAGTTTATATTATAATAATTATTAAAAATAAATAAATAATATAAATTCTAGTTTTCTGTCACAAGATTTACGATAAAGTGCACTACATCTAATAAAAATTTTGGAGTCTGCCGGAGACTCCCCTACCACCCTCCATTCAAATTTGAACCGTATCCTTTTAATATCACAGCATACTTATCCATAGAAGTCTTGATCTCGTCTGCAGTAAGGGAGGCGGTAAGGTCGGGATAGTATCGCCACCTCTTCTGCCCGGCATCTTGTGCCCACGCCAATTGGAACGGAGTTAAGGCAGGCTCTATGTACTTCTTGCAGTCGCGACAATGAGGACTGACAGCTTTCTGCAAAAAACAGTGGAGCTTGATGGCCGTAGCAGAGTGCTTTTCATAAAAGAATGTGCCATTTGTAATAGTATAAATACCTAAATAATAAGTATTTCGAACACTAACGCCAATAACTGGTTCCAAAGTAATAAAGCACTGAAAGAGTAATGAATGAAATACAGGGTAACGTAATATATAAAGAGTAATGACTTAGCTACAAATGCCGCATCATCCCCCACTCAGGGGATGATCGATTCAATTGTAGCTTGTAAGGCCTTTCTGGCCATAAGCAGTCTTCCTATCAATGGGATATCCAATGAGACTACGGGGAAGTAGTGGTCTGCGTCAGTATCCGTAGTCCACCCAGGTATACCAAGGGTCACAAAAATTCCCACTAGTCTACCAGGTGAACCAACGGTAAGCACAAGTTTTCGGAGTCCACATAGGTGAACTTCTTAGGTGGACCACAGGTAATTAACGATTATTCCCTATTGAGGAGCTCGATAGTGCGGGTGTTAGCGCGTTCGGCTGCGATCGTTGAAGTTAAGCAACTTTCGCAGTGGTCGGTCATTTGATGGGTGGGTGATCTTGAGTTCTTCCGTGCTTCAGAAGGCACGTTAAGCCGTTGGTCCCGGCTGCATCTGCGGCCGTTAGCACTCGCCAATCCGCATTGGGCACGCGTGGTGGGTCATGCCCCAAACTCCCTATTCCATTAACCCCTTGTTGACACCTAGGTATAATACATGTATATAAATTTTTTTATTTAATGTCTAAATTTTTTGTTCACACATATACATGTTTAAAGCATGTCAACAATACTTGCATCAAACTTGTTGGGTGGATACACAAATTGAAAATTGATTATTTAAAATACAATAAATAGTGATTTATACTTGTAAAGATACTCGTTATCTATGCAGTGTTAATAGGAAACGCCTGTGCCCCAGCAGTGGGGACATTAACAGGCCGATTATATGATTATGATTCCCTATTGCAAATTCGTGTTTCGGAGGACAGACCAGAAATTGATACTATTTACAATATAATCTGATTTGTTCATAAGGTCCCAATCTAGGAGGAAAATGTTCATTAGTAATCTTTTAAAGTGAATAAAAAAGTAGTACCTACTTAAAGTTTGTTGTAATAAGGCTATTCATAGTTCTGCAAAAGTATAAAATTATGAATTCACGACCGTCCCTTTATTCAAAGATGCAATTTTTTTTATCCAGGCTGAACCACCTAAGATTCTTTGGTTTGTAGGAACAGGAATGAGCAGACAGTTACCAGTATGAGATTGCCCACTCCACTAAATGCCTCTGGTCATGAAAATTGTGGACTCTTCCGATTGTACTACGTGTGGTTTTAGAGAGGATACATATTACGCTATGGTGGAGTGTGTACCAATAGAAGCCGAACGGTAATCATTTGAGCTTTAATAATTAATTTATTAAGCATAAGGAAAAATAATAGTTAATACATAATAATTATATTTACATGGAAATATTTAAATTACAAAAGTTAAAAAAAATAGAATTATCTTAAAACTTACCTACTTAAATAAATAAAAATTTACAAAATAAAAATATATATCACCCTTAGTTAATTATTAGTTTATTAATTGTAAACGACTTCCTTGCAAGCTTTCGGGGTCAAGTCGTGGGACGTATAATAATGATGATATTAATTAATGTGAAATCGCATCCGCTACTAAGGGATCGTCGATTTTTCCAATAATCAAGAATAACATTTATAGTTGTTACTGCGGGCAATTACAATATCGGGTTCAGTTTATTAGAAACATCCGTTATCCATAGACCGAAATAAAAAATACCGAAAAAGTAAATATATTTCACTAATATTTTGTATGTAAACGAAGTAGCCCGAAGTAGTAGAGACGCAGAATGATGACCACGTTGTACCTTTCCGACCACTTGAGCATCTTCTTTATAACTGTGAGCGTACACTTTATCATTTTGCTTATGTGTATGGGGCTTATATAGTGTTCTTCAATCGTGAAATTTTTTTCATCGGTAAAAATGATATTTCTGTGCTTTTCATCTGCGTATCGCGACAGAAGGCGTTTTGATCGATCCACTTATCTTTTATTGTTAAGATTGTTAGGACATGTCCTGTATATCGACGATAAGTACCAAACTTCAGGTCTTGTTTTATAATACGTGACAGAGTCCAGCGGGAATCTTCATTTATCGCGATTTTTTTTTTGCTTCCTATTGGAGTTGTCGACGAATTCCGGCTTTAACAGCATTAACCACCTTTGTAGTTCTAACAGCACGCGGCCGCTCCGATCTTTTGTGGTCTTCGACAGACGAATTGTTGTTGTATCTGTTGATAGTACGATATACGAACATACGGCTGATATCAAGCTTTTGAAGTGTCTGGAATATGACCAAACAGCTCTATACCCACTTTGTGCATGGCGATCACTGCATTCCTATTTTTCTTTAACACCCCATTCGATATTGTAATTTGATAATGAACACTAAAAAATGTGTGAAATGGCGCCAAATCGAAAGAAGTTTTTAAAATAAAATACGTGCTCTAAATTCAAAATAATTAAAAAGTTGAAAAAATTAAAAGTTCTTATGTAACAGTATTTATGGCCAGACTAGTTAGTATTCCATACCCATTACAATCTCTTCTAAAATGGCAATGGCGCTGGCCGATAGGTCCCTGTCAATGAAGCAGTGCTGCTTACAAGGGACGGATGCAAAGTAGTCACGCATCTCGTCCCAATCTTCCAAATCATAGTGCCATCGCTATAAACTAGAGAGTTTATAGCCTGTGGCGCCGGGACGGACATCAGGCAATGATTTGACGAGCTCCGTGGGGCTCTAACCATAACCTGATAGCCCTGTGGATGAGTCGTTAGCAAAAAGTCCAATAAAGAGGGCGCTTGACTTGGAATATCTGGAAACCTGGTAGGCTGATCAACCAGTTGCTTCAAATCATGTGTGGGAGTTAATGTGTGAGCAAAGATCCCTGCATGGTCAGTTTTGGAGTAACCTTAGCATAAACTGTGGTGAGCATTAAAATCCCCCCAAAAACACCAATTATGCATTTGGAAATTGCTCCTGCGCGTCATCTATTACCCGTCTAAGACTTTCGAAAAGTCGAGTTGCCTCAAATGTATCTGGATCTGTAGAGGCATACGTAGACTCTAGCCAAAGGACCAGAGTCCACGTGAACCCCTTACAAAGACAAGGAGGGATCTTCCGCCGGAACTGTCTGTCTTTCGCTTTGAAGGACTCTTCAAGCACGTAGCCAGGATAATTTAGGGAGCCCGTGGCAGCAAGCGAAAGTATTTGTGTCTCCGTCAGAATCAACAATGTTAGCCGTGTTGTCTCAAGATGGTGGTGGACAGTGTTGAGGATTGAGTGCCGGGCCACGTATATAGCAGAACTCGACCTCAACCAGCGCGGAAGGCGTGAGGGTGTGCACCGCTGTACGTCCGAACTTTATTTTTCCAGCTGCTATTGTGGAAGACCACAGACACCGGACAAGAAGAGACTTAAAACTAATGGACGTTGTCGCGACAAAACCGTGCAAATTAGCGAGGCTTGATTCCCTAAGAGACTTTCTAAAGAGGAAATGCACCGATCAGCCGTACGGAAAGGCCCCGTACAGCCTGGCAATGGCCGCCGGGGCCACGCCCACTCGAGCTCTGGCTATACGCTGGCAAACCCCGCAAGCAGCTCGAGGAGCATTTCTCGAGTTTTACACTATGCATACAGTGGTAACTAACCAGGCGGGCGTTAAGTGCCCTACCACCAGTAGAGCGGATGGAAGCTCCGAGTTCGCTTAGTCGCTTGTTACGGCATCCACAGGAAAATGAAAGGGGCAGTGAATAGTATTCTTTCTCCATCACTGCATGAATATAACCGATAGCAAAAATGAGGGACAATAAGAAAAACACATTCTCATACATTTTTTTTTGCAAGAATAGCTAAGTCCTTAAATTATTAATAAACAAAAAAGCACCAGAGCAATCAACAGAACGTTAATCTGGGGAAATAGCCAAAGATCTTATAGAAAAAGTTAGACAAGCACTAGAAGCTGTTAACAGGCACTTGAAAGTTGACATAATCTGCGCTTCGAGACTTTGCACTGAGAGAAATCGACAAGAAAACTTAGCAAGGACTGACTGTCTTTTTTACCCTGATTAGTCAGCCGGAAAATTATCTGACTACTAAGAGCAAACTTTAAAAGAGTATTTTTAACGGCACGTGATAATAAACAAAAAAAATACTTTTTTTATGTTAAAAGGGTGGCAAACAAGCAACATGCAGTCTGCCTGAATGTACGCGGCCATCATAGCTTATAAACGCTTGCGATACCAAAAATATCACTCGCGCCGTTGCCTACCCTGACCCGATCCCCTACCCCGTGGAGCCCTGGAACCTTACTCACAGACAGAAACACAATACCACCAAAAGGTAGTGCTATCTCACTTCGGTCTTCTGCACGGCGGAGGTTACTTCCCTCCTGAAGAGCACTCCAATTCGAGTGGAAAAACCGCTAGCACTACCTTTATTAGTACTAATACTTCACAATACATATTTTAAAGTAAAAACCGTTCTCAGACGCGTGAAATTAGTTTAATGCTTCATTAAGTCTCGTGTCTTATTCTACCTATAAAAGAAAGTATCAGCAGCATCTTCAATCAAACTTAAAAGTTAATTAAATTGTCTTAACGTGGTCTTAGTGGCCTGTGCAGAGGAAAGACTTTTGTACGTACAAACGTACGTACGGAGGAAAATAGACCCTCAATCGTATAAAAATGTCCGGCAAAGAAGTCCTTGGCATGGACTTAACGCACACAGTGTGCGAATATTTGTTGCCCGAAAATTTAGGGGAGTAAATATTCTCTAATAAGGCTGTGTTCTAATTAACATGCAGTTTATTTAAAAGAGAACACGTTTTAAAAGAGAACACTGGGTCGTTCTATTTTTATCGGGGATACCTGCGTACTTTTGTCCAGTCCGGTCTCTCTGGTCTCA